TATATCCATCACAATTGAATCCAACATAAATAATTTAATTTGTGATTGATCACAGGAGAGAGGGATTCACTTTGGATTGGGCACTGTCTCTGCTGTAATATTAGATGTAGATTATTAAGTGAGGTGCGTAGCCTTTAGATCGGTCAATAAGCACAAAAAAAATTATATGTATAAAAATTATTGAAGATTGAACGTACTGAAAGAACAATGACGCGAAAATTTAGGCAAAAAAAACTATTTGTATAGAGAAATAATGTGCCTATTAATTAGAAATAGAATGTGCCGATAAAGAAATACAAAAAGAACAGAGGTGCTAAAGAAACAGGCTTAATGTAAAAGAATGCTATTAGATGTAAGAAGATTCAAAACATACGGCAAAGAGATCCAAGAGTTCCAAGTAAAATGTCTTATTCAATTTATTTATTCTTTCGTCAGATCATGGTTTAGATGACATTATGCACCTCACCTGGAGACCTGCATCTGAGGTGCGTCAGCTGTAATCTGAGGCAAATGTTAGTCTGATACACAACATATATAATTATAATTCAATAATCCTGGATTTATGAATTTTTTAAATAAATTAGTACTGTCAAAAAAAATCTAATCAATAAACTGAATGAAGAATTTTTGAAACTAAAGAATAAATGCTATTAGAATGACTATTTACGTATGCAGTATCATACTTTGCTGACCATAGTGAGAAGTTTCGAAAATTCGGGCAAATATCAGATGTTTCTCAGTTTCAAAGGTTAAATCTGAAGGTTCGAAAATTTCATATTTTGAGGAAACTGAAACAGGAAAACATTTCGAATTTTAAAGGATTTAAATTAGAACGCTATTACCAAGTAAATCAGATAACATTTGTAACCTGGTTTTAAATTTTAGTACAAAATGACAAGCTCTTTATTATTAATTTGTCATATGTATAATTTTTATAACATGGAAGATTTTAAATAGTAATACTATGGAAACAAGATCTTAATAATAACAAAAATTCTATTTAATTATAAATATGTTCGTAAAAAGAAGACACCTCAAATTGAAAAAATCAACTCTAAAAATATTTAAGAAAAATCGAATTTTCTTTTTCGAATCCTAACCTCTAATTGCTGACAGCTCTTGGTAGTGTCATAATGACTTTTTATTGGTGCTGCCATATCTACCAATTCTACCTCCAATTTTCGATATAACAACACTATATAGCACTTCATTTGCATCATCGCAAAATTCTTTCCGGGACATATCCTAAGTCCACCTCCAAAACCATGAAAATATTGATTAGTTTTTTTTGAATCAGTAAACGATTAAATAAATCGTTCAGGAATGAACTGAAATGGATCCTCCCAATGGGAGGGATGGAAATTTATAACTTGAGAATTGATTAAAAATTGTGTATATTTTGGGAAAATATAGCCACCAATTTTGCAAGGTTCATTAGCCATTCTAAAATTTGATGAAGCCGTTGAGTATATACGCATTACTGATATATATTGAGATATTTTCATAGACGTATATTAAAGGTTATAAAATATTAATTTTTTATAGTAAATTATCCCATGTATTAATGAAATTAAATCATAAATAAAACTGTGAAAATTTCCAATAGACTTTTTTTTAAAATACTTTTTGTTCATACCTTCTTTAATAACGGCTTCACAATATTTGAGTTTATTCAACTCTTCTGACTCAATTTTATAATTGGGGTCAGATCCAAATGTCAGAACCAACTCTTTTAATAAGCGTTCTTTTACTGCTGGGTAATGTTCAATGTAATATATTATGTAACAGATCGTGCTTGGTGTCTTTATATATATATGATTTAAGAACATAATTAATTTAAAGATGATGTTAGAGTTTATATATTCAATTCACAGCAGAGCACAAAATATATTGTAAATTTCGGAGATTTCCGTTTCGTCATGACAATTTCCGCCTTGACTTTTCATCAGTCGGAAAATTTCCGAATATGATATCATACATACGTATGTATATAAATATCAATAAATATTACAATATCTTTATTAAAAAACTGCCACATCCGGCTGAGTTTTCTAAGTTCCAGTTAAAATAAACACCACCGGAGAAAAAGCAGCTTCCGGCATTCGGAAATTTTGTGCCCTGATTCACAGTAACAAAACAACTTGATAAAGTTTAATATTACTGTTTCAACATCACCAGAAATGACATCAATTAAAAGTGTTGTGATTTCATCATCAGTCATATGTTCATTGTGCATATTATCCTCATCTTTAATAATATTATTATTTATCATGAGAATCTCCATTAATTAATCTGATCTTTCATCTTCATTGACCTCCTTAACAATTATATTATTCATGGTTTCAATTTCCTTTCTTCTCTTATGAATAATTTCTTATACATCTTTTTTTAGTGAAATTCTTCTATTATAATAAAATTTTACACATTTCCTAAAACTTGGAAGTATTTTAACAAATTTTGGTGTAAAAGCAAAAAACAACCAACTCTTAAGATAGAATGTAATATTCTTAATAAAAGCATCAGGAGATTTCAAAATGTTTTTTGAAATATTTTTTAAAGTATTATAATTAAAGGGATAATAATAGTTTATTAATGAGTGAACATCTGATTTGTGATTAGGAATAATGTTACATCAGTTGATGAACAAGCAATTTATTTCAAAAAATCCAGTATTGTTTTACTATCATAATCATCTAAGTTTTCAACTTTATTCAAATATGCTTCTATCTCTTTTTAAGCAATTTAAATATGTTTTAAAGAATCAATTAAAAATTTTTGGTTTGTTAAAGTTTTTGTTACAATTCTTCTATAATATTTTCAAAGTTTCTAATTTCTATTAAATTATAATACATTAAATAGTGTATTTATTTTCTTCAAAATTCTGAACATTCACTGAGAAGATGCAATTTCAAAAATAATATAACAAAAATTTTCTAATATTATAATGTATTATTTGATTAATGTTTGGTTTAATTAATGATCCTTAAATTACTTTAAATAAAGATATTGATGTGACTACTACTATAATAATAAATGAAATTTGCATATATACTTTAGAACTGTCTTAGCATAACATTACCAATCTAAAAAATTTAGTATCTAATCAAATTAAAATTAAGATTAGGTGTAATATAAAATTAAAATAAATTAACTAAAACTCTAATATTAGTAGCATTTTTGATATAATAAAATAGGTTATGTGTTTCTTTTTTAATAATTCAATTAAAGCTATTTTAATATATTCTTTTCATTAATATCAATATCATCATTATCTAAGATTGAAAGTTTTTAATTTCTATTTTGCTTTTGAATATAAAAAAAAATAAAAAATTAATATAAATTTACATTTTGTTATTAGTAGTTTATTATATCAGTCTTATATAAGAATTGTATCATTTTTAATTGACCAAATTTTTAAAATTAAAATATTGATCAATTAATTTTAATAATTAAGACAAAAAAAGATTCTTGAAAATTTTAAATGAGAATTATATTAAAATTGTTATATAATAAACTTATTTTAAAAGTAGAGTTCAATAAATTATTAAAAATTTTTAAATACTCATAATATTACATAGTGCCTTATTTGATAGTTAAAGTGTTTATATCTAAGTAATTATAGAAAATTTTATTATTTAAGTAATGAAGAATCCTAGAAATCATATAAGTTCAGAGAATTTTTAATTAATTTAATCTAAAACATATAGGTTTAATTATTATTATTTATTTGTAATCTTGAAATTAATTTTTTTATATAGACAAAAGTATTTTAAATTATATATTTATTAGTAATTATTACAATACATATCAAAATATTGTAATTGTTTCTAAAATGCAGTTTTGAAATTAGTATTATTAACTTTTAATAAAGACAAATTTTAATATAATATATTTATCTTCAAAATATGATAATTGTTTTTAGTATATTTATCTTTAAATAATAATTGTATTTATTATAATATAATTATTTAAGAGGTGTGGCAACCTAGTAAAGTAGTCAGGTTGTCAACCCCCCAAGTGGTAAATAGGGTATTCAAATTCCATTGATGGTGAAAATTTAAATAATCATCTATGTAATATTCATATTATGACAACTGTTACTAATAATTGGGTTAGAATATCTGTAATAGCAGTTACACCAGCATAACTGGCAGGTTATAGGGCATCTGTGTAAGTATGGCATTACACAGAGAAATGAAAACTGACAATTCAGGTGGTGCAAACATTAAATAAGTTCTTGTAACTATATAAATTTATTAAAATTAGGTAACAAGAAGACTATTTAAGAAGATCTGAGTAGAGAGGTAGTTGGATTTTCGACAGCTCTACTGTAAAGGCTAGCCCAGAAAATAGATACCAAGATTATAGTACCTAGTTGTAGTAGCTAGATGGACAAGAACCTCCAGGTTGGGAGTCTTGGGTGTACTACCAACCAGGCTGCCAGAATAAACCAGAGAAAAAGAATATCAGGCTGACCTAATATGTCAATAAACTGGTTGTAGTTCTACATGGGCTATCTGAATTGAGAGTTTAGTAAAAAGGCAGATAAAAAGGCAAGGGTATACTAAAATACTAAGGTTATGCTATAAAGTAGATGCTGGAGTCTAAGTGAACTCTACAAAAGCATAGTGGTTTAATAGTTAGCCCTGACCACAAGTGTTGGTTCTGCTATAGTAATATCTAAGTCAGCTGTAAAAATAGGTACAAAAGGCTCTGGAAGGTTTACCTTGAGGATAAATTAGTCCTAAGGTTGAGACAATGATCTGGCCATCTGGGTATAAACTAGTGAGTTAATACAGGTTACAAATTCAGAGAGTTTAAAATAGAATACCCAAGCAGGAATATTAAGTATGGCAATTGGTAAGGAACCTTTGGGCAGACTCCTTAAATAGGTAATATAAAAAGTTATATGTATAGCCAATTATACTCTTTCCTGTAGTAGTTCATTGAACCACAATACTAATAAGTGATTAATAAAAGTCAAAAGAACAAAAAGGTCACCTTAATAAAAAAAAAATTAATATAATTTTTTTCAAATTGCTGTAATTAGTTTTAATTTATTTACTTTTTATTAAAAACAAATATTAAAAATTTATAAATATTAATAAAAAAAAAATAATATATTTTTAAATTTTATTTAAAAAATTATATAAATTTAAAAAAATATTTACATTAAAAAAAATTAATATATTTATTTACAATGTCTAAATTTTCAAAAAAACATTACTAAATGATATAAATAATAGCAAATTATGAAAAAATAAAAAAAATAAAATTGAAAATTCTTTTAATGTCTTTATAATATTGATAATATTTATAGAGAAAAATTAATCGAACTTATTCAAGATTTAGGTAATAATAAAAAAGAAAATGCAATAAAATTACTAGAAAATATAAGATACCTGTAAAAAAAAAAGAAAAAAAATTATATTCTAATATTTGTAATAGCAATTTGTTAAAATAATTTTTAACTTCTTTTATTGATATTAAATAAATTATTCGGTCTTAAAGAAGAGTATGATCAGTTATAGCTTCAAATAAAAAATTAAATCAAAAAAATTATGATCTTATTATAAAACCAAATTACTCAAATCTTAAAATTATTATACTTGGCTAAAAATATTTTGTCAATTATCTGAAATATATTTCTTAGTTTATCTTTAATTTGTATACAAATTTGTCTCTAAACTTTTAAATATTTTATAAAAAATTTAATTTTGTTAAAAATAAAAAATTTTTTAAAAATTTTTAATATTTAATATATTTAACTTATAATATTTAAAATATTGGTTTTATTTTTTTAATATAATATATAAAATAAAAATTTTATATATTAGTAAAAAAATAATATTTTTAAAAAAATTTATAATTTTTTTAAAAAAATTATAATTTTTTTTAAAAAATTAATAAATATGTTAATTAAGGTTCCTATATATTATAATAAAATTAATAAAATTTATTATTATTGTTTTTTTTTATAGTTAAAGTCTCTGTCTTGGGAGATGCGATATTTTTATTCAAGTATTATAGAAGATGGCATGCCTCTAGGGACTACCAATATATTGGAGGTTACAACTAGCCATATGTCACTTTTGTTGCCTAATTTAAGTAGTCTGCTTATATATTACTATATAAGTTTTATACTAGTTACCATACCTGCAAGTCAACTAGGAATCTTGCCTATTTTAACTCTCTGCATATGCAGCCCTTATTGTATTACAAAAACATCTCAAGGCTAAACCCATCCAAATTCCTGATGCTTGTCATTACCCTTAGAACTACTTTATCCTTGACAGGAAACTTACTAAAGCCTTTATATTCTACATATATAGACCTAGATTTATACAACATGCTATAGTTACCTAACACTTGCAGTTATAGGAGTTGTCTGTTTAACTGCTATATTATACTATTTCTATTCTTGTAAAGTTCACTAGAACCCTAGTGCCTAACTTTTTGGCATCTTCTCTATTATTTTCTACTAGCTGCAACTCAGAACTGTCAGTCTCATTTTAGACTACCAATTCAGATGGCCCAGTATGGTATATTTCTGTATTCTTTTCTTTTAGTGAATTTAGTGGCCTGGTTGGTTATATGCTTCTCTATACATATTTGTTGTTCAGTTTTAATTTTCAGTTTCTATGAAGGTGTTTGTAGGCTTTAACTGGTCTGATGATATTGTCAAAAGTTCATGCTACCTCTTTACTCAGGAATTTCCAAGTGGGTTTCTGTCATATCGGTTTCTTAGTCTTCTACAATCAGTGGTCTTATTGTAAGTTTGCACTAAAGTCTTATGCAACACCAGTTAGCATTTTTCTATATACATGTAACATTACACTTTGCATAGATGCCTGAGCTCCCAATAATGATAGGACCTGTCTTGGTGTACCTGGGATACAGCTGTATAAGGCCAACCAATCAACAAAAGACAGTTATCATATCACAGATATAATTTTCAAATTTTGTTGTAAGTGGGATTTGAATCTTAGATCTGCTACTTGGAGGATGACAACCCAACCACTATACTAGGATCACCATCTACAATAAAATTTATTATAATAAACAATATTTTTAATTATTTTTATAGTTATATGCCAAAATTTTAATTATTATTATTAGTTAAAAAAATTAAATATAAATTAAATATTATTTAATTTATATTTTAAATAAATTTTTAAAAAAAGTATCTGAAAGAGATTTTTTATTAAGTAAACTGTTTTTTCTTCTTTAATAAAAATAATTTCTTGTGATTTTTTGGTTATAATAATGAATAAATCATTAAAA